CCGTCAGAGGATTTTAGGCAGGAAAGGGATGGGGTCAGATTGATATTTTAAAATAAGTATTTTGACTGCTGGGTGAGAAACAGGGTGACACAGTATAAGACTTTAGAGCAGTGGTTCTCAACCTGTGGGTCGCGACCCCTTTGGGAGTCGAACGGCCCTTTCACAGGGGTCGCCTAAGACCATCAGAAAACACATATATAATTACATATCGTTTTTGTGATTAATCACTATGCTTTAATTATGTTCAATTTGTAACAATGAAAATACATCCTGCATATCAGATATTTACATGACGATTCATAACAGTAGCAAAATTACAGTTATGAAGTAGCAACGAAAATAATTTTATGGTTGGGGGTCACCACAACATGAGGAACTGTATTAAAGGGTCGCGGCATTAGAAGGTTGAGAACCACTGCTTTAGAGAGATTGTTTATGGGATTGTTCCAGTAATTCAGGGCGGAGACATTTTGCTGGCAGGGGCAGTTTGAGGGGAGAATATTAATTCAAGAAACATGAAGGAAGCAGAAGCAATAGGTGCAGGTGACACTTTGTTGTAAGGCGTAAGGTTGATGCCGGGTTCAGAGACTGATGACCAGATCCCACTTTTGGAACATAGCACAATTCTTCACCCAGACACCTTAAAGATGTTAGCAGTTTCCACTTTTCATTTCCCCTCATAGTGTCACTTCTTCATAGTGTCAAGAAGCCCAAATGATTAGAATAAATATATTTAAATAGGCAATATGATTTCAAAGACAAAACAACATTTAACAACTTGTGAGATAACTCATTTCACAAATTTGCCTGATCTTACTGAAACGTGGGGTTCAGGGTACAGACTTCTTCTTGTGGGTTCTTGTCCCACAAAGATGAAGAATAAATTTGTGGACTAACATATTTCTTTAATAAAAATGTAGAAGTTTATTGGAAGCATATACAAATTCCATCTGGGCAGATCTCCTCGGGAGAGACCCCCAAATGGGAAATGCCTGCTTGCTCTCTCTCTCTCTCTAATGGGCAAAATAAAATAAAAAAATCCTGCCTCGTGTCCCTTTGTCTCCGGTTTATACATGCTGTAGTTCTTTGTTTGAACCTGACTCTTTCTAATTGGACCTTTCATTAATTTAGGGCCCCCAAGCTGTCCTCATTGGTTCTTTTGTTAAATCATATCAGTTTCAAAGGCCAAAGCCCATGTGGTACCCCCTTTCTCTCTCCCCCCCTTACCTTACAACATTTCTCTATCTGCTGTGAAAATCTGTTTTCCTCTTTGTGCCATTTGTTGTCATTTCTCTATCCTCTGTGGAAGTTTGTTTCCTTTTTCCCCATACAGCAGGTCTTCAGGTTACATGGGAGAGCCATTCCTACGGCGCGATGTAACGCGATTTTCGCCCTAAGTCAGAACCCACCGACATAAGCACCTACGTCACTCACATGGAGCACATGCACAGCAGTAATGAAGTGAAACAGTAAAAAACATTTAAAGATAACAATTCCTGACGTTTACTTGTGGTAAATAAATAATAAAAAACAAAGCACATACGTACATACGTCAAAATGACAGAACTTTTTTTTATATATATAAATAAATGGGAGATGGCAACGTAACCACGAAACAAGGTACGTCGAGTCCAATGTAACCCGAGGACTGTCTATACTCTGTGGCTTTTCCTTATCTTCTGTGAATGTATGTCTTCCTCTCCCCTTATCCTGTGGCACCTTTTTTGTCTCTGAATGTATGCCTTCTGGTGGCTCCAAACCCTCACCTATGCATTCCTCCCCCATGGACCCTCTTTATTTCTAAAATTCCCTAAACCTGCTTATTTTATCCCTAAAACTCCTTTTATTACTTTACAAAAAAGCCAGTTTCCTTTCCAGTTCCCCTCCCTTCCCCCACACTAGTACAAACAGTTTATAAGTCTGTCAGAGGACACCCAGGAGCAAGATGAAGAAAAGGCTTGCATTATCAATGAAATAGTCAAATTTCAGTGAAGAGCTAAAGTTGGTCAGATACTGGATTAAAAGAAAACTAGCGTCCCAGTGCATGACATTCGTCCACTGGGGAGGGGTCTCTCAGCCCAGCCTGCTCCCTCTCCTAGTTGGACATCCCCCAAGGGGTTCTTAGCGTTGCTGTGGAGGCTATCCCCTCCGCTGCTGCACTCGCCAGTCATGAGCCTGGCTTCTGGCTGAGCAGCACTCCCCCTGTGGGAGTGCACTGACCACCAGGGGGCAGCTCCTGCATTGAGTGTCTGCCCCCTGGTGGTCAGTGCGTGTCATAGCGACCAGTCATTCCACTGTTCAGACAATTTGCATATTGGGATTTTATTATATAGGACTAGAGGTCCGGTGCAGGAAATTTGTGCAGGGGGATGTGTCCCTTAGCCCAGCCTGCACCCTCTCCAATCTGGACCCCTCGAGGGATATCCAACTGCCTGTTTAGGCCTGATCCCAACGGGATCGGACATCCTTCTCACAATCCAGGACTGATGGCTCCCAACCACTCGCCTGCCTGCCTGCCTGTCTGATTGCCCCTAACAGCTTATGCCTGCCATCCTGATCACACCCTAACCACTCCCCTGCCGGCCTGATCAACGCCTAACTGCTCCCCTGCTGGCCCGATTCCCCCAACTGCCCTCCCCTGCCAGCCTGGTTGCCCCCAACTGCCCTCCCTTGCTGGCCTGGTCACCCCTTACTGCCCTCCCCTGCAGGCCTGGTCCCCCTCAACTGACCTCCCCTGCCAGCCTGATTGCCCCCAACTACCCTTCCTTGCTGGCCTGGTCACCCCTTACTGCCCTCCCCTGCAGGCCTGGACCCCTCAACTGTCCTCCCCTGCAGGCCTGGTCCCTCCCAACTGCCCTAACTTATAGGCCTGGTCCCCCCTAACTGCCCTCTCCTGCTGGTCTGGTCACCCCCAACTGCCCTCCCCTGAAGGGCTGGTTGCTCCCAACTGCTCTCCCCTGCAGGCCTGGTCCCTCCCCACTATCCTCCCCTGCAGGCCTGGTCCCCCCAACTGTCCTTTCCTGTAGGCCTGGTCCCCCTTAACTGCCCTCCCCTGCTGGCCTGATTGCCCACAACTGCCCTCCCCTGCTAGCCATCTTTGACCACAGGGGGCGGCCATCTTGTGTGTTGGAGTGATGGTCAATTTGCATATTACCTCTTTATTAAATAGATAATCTTTTGTTTCATACTGTTAGCATTTGAAATTACATCAGTTTTTTTCTAGTGATCTTCATTAGATAATTTTTATCTTTAATGAAAGGTGCTTGCAAAAGCATTTTTCCTTTATTTGGGGAAAACCAAGTCCCTGCCTGTGGCTATGGGCTGAGCTTCATAGAATTCCAAGGCCAGAGAGTAGCCGACCTTAAACAGTAGCTCCTTGAACTCATAGAAACAGAATAGAATGGTCTTTAACAGGAGCTGAGGGATGGAGGAGATGAGGAGATAGTGGCCAAACGGTACAAAATTCCAGTTACAAGGTGAATAAGTTCTGAGAATTGTACAGCATGGTGATTATAGTTAACAATATTGTATTGTATAATTGAAAGTTGCTAAGAGAGTAGACCTTAAATGTTTTTATACTCCCCCCCCTACCCCCCGCCGAATCAAATGGTAACTATGAAGTGATAGATGTGGTAACTATTCTCTTCATAATTTGATAATATCTATATTATAAAAGCCTAAGCAACCTTTACGACATGAACAGCCGGTCAACCAGTTGCTATGACATGCCCTGACCACCAGGGGGCAGACACTCAATGCAAGAGCTGCCCCCTGGTGGTCAGTGTGCTCTCACAGCCAACCTCCCGTGGCTGACCAACGTCCTCTGGTCCCTCCCCCAGCTGGCCAACCTCCTGAGGACTTTCCCCCTGGCCGGCCCCAGCTGCAGTTCCTCCCCCCACCGCCCCGCCATCCAACCTCCCACAGCCCCTCCCTCCCTGGCCTGCTTGGTCCTGCCCCCAATAGGCCCTGATCACTGGCCAGGCCGAGGTACCCTACCCATTCACCAATTGTGCACTGGGCTGCTACTATCTATATATATAAAACCCTAATATGCAAATAAACCAAATGGTGGAACAACCAGTTGCTATGACATGCACTGACCACCAGGGGGTACGCGTGGAACATGACTGGTGTCGGCCGCAGCCTGATGGTGGAGCAGGTGAGTGGGGGCACCAGACCAAGGTGGGGTGCTGGTTGCTGTAATCGGGGTGAGCCGCTGGTGGTTACTGAAAATTCTTTGCTCCCGTGCGCCATAGTCCTGCCTGGCGCTCACACCTGCTGCAGGTGCTGGCCCCGCTCGTCCTTCAGGGCTTCTCCACCTCGCCCTGCTCCTGAGGGGCGATCAGGGCCAGCAGCCACCTCTCACACCCACTGCTGGCGCCAGAGCCACCACTCTCACTTACTGCCGGTGCCGGCCCTGCTCACACCCGCAGCTGGCATTTGCACCTGCTGACGGTGCCAGCCCCAATTGCTCCGTACTGTCAACGGGTGCGAGTGGGGCCTGCACTGTCAGTGCATGGGAGCAGTGGTGGTGGGAGTGGGGCTGCTGGCAGATGGGACCAGGGGCTGCAGTGGGAGGGCCAGGCGGGGTATGGAGGATGGGCCGAGACCCGCCCCTGTGCCCACCGCAGCCTTGAGGCCCACAGTTCCTTTCAAGGTGCATGAATTCATGCACTGGGCCTCTAGTGTGTGTGTGTGTGTGTGTGTGTGTGTGTGTGTGTGTGTATACACACACACACACACACATATGTATGTATGTATATATATACATATACACATATATATCATTGAGTTGTGTGTGTGTGTGTGTATATATATATATATATATATATATATAATTGAGTTGTGTCTCTGAAACTTATACAATATTATGTGTCAGTTATATCTCTATGAAGCTGGGGAAAACATTTAAATAAATGAATATTTATTTTTAAAGTAACTCTTTACTAAATTTAGCATGTGACATCTTTCCAAAATATTGTTTTACCCTTTCTTTTCAGGATGAGCAGAAGCTCCAAGACAGTTTAAGGCAAGGGGCCACAATAATTGCTACGCTCATCAAAGAGAGAAATTCTGCATTCATTGGTCAGCTACTGGTAGCATGAAGGATACAGAGAAAATTGCCTACTGAGTTTAAAGAAATGTTTAAGTTCCTCTGTCCTGCTTCCCCTCCCTGTTGTGTGTGGTAGCATATTTAAGTTGTCTTTTATGTCTCATAATTTGTAGGATATGATGCTTGGGTTATAAAAGTGGATTAATGTTTTATATTTGTGAAATAAAAATTTACTTTCATGCATGTCATATTTAAATTGCCCAAACAGGTAAGGTAAGGATAGGTAAGTGGAAAATAATGGCCTTCATATAATCTTTTTACAAAAGTATGAAAGATCAATAGAAACAATCATGTGTGAGCTAATCCTCCAAGGAATGAGAACTTAGAAATCTTAAACTATTCTCTCTGTGTTAATTACTAAATCACACTGTAATGAAACTAATAGATAAGGTTCAGAATTATATTTCTTTAAAATTGTGTTCTCATCATTAGATATTGACTTGTGTTCTAATTTTCCATGCCTTAAAAAACAAAACAAAACATAAAAACAAACAGAAAACAATGAGATTGTAGGGATTCTTTAAATATATTCACTATTGGCCCTCAACATTACTCATGATTCCTAAATGAGATGTAATATACTCCTTAGATTACATAATTTTTACTCATTTTAAAAGGTCTCTGATCTTTCTGAATGCATTTAAGAGAAGACTGGAAAGCTTCATAAAAGTGAAGTTATTTTAGTGAAGCCCAAGTTAGTCTTCAAAAAGACAGGGAGCCATTGCAAGAATTTAATTATTCTTTTGATACAGATACTATTTTTTAAGTCAAGTTTCTATTCTTTCAAATTTCCACTGGTATGTACACCTTAAATATTAATGATTTCCCCTATATTAATTACATTGTATAATTATGTGCATGCAGTCATTAGAGATGCCTTTTACTCCATATTTACACTGACTTTCTTACTTTTATTTTTTAAATATATTTTTTATTGATTTTAGAGAGGAGGGGAGAAGGAGAGAGAAATAGAAACATCAATGATGAGAGAGAAGCATGATCAGCTGCCTCCTGCATGCCCCCTACTGAGGACCGAGACTGCAACCCAGGCATGTGCCCTGACCGGGAATAGAACTATGAGCTCCTGGTCGATGCTCAACCATTGGGCCACAAGGCTGGGACTGGCTACATTGACTTTCTAAGAACACAATAGATCAGATTATTCAAGGGCTTAGGCTGCACATGGTAACTATCAAAGTTGCATGAGATGTTTTCTATAACATATCTACCTAGTGGAATTTCTTCTTAGCATGTTGGATGAGTTTTCCTATATTTCTCAAGTATCTCTCTTATTAGGAGAGTGTATGTTACATTTAAGTGATGGTCGGTAGAAAACAATGGACATGGAGTGAATACTACAGTTCATTCCCCTACATAAAAGGCATTGTTTCAATGTAGTTTGGATCTGAGTTCCTGGGCTTGCTACTTTCTCTCTCAGGATGTTAAGAAATATAAAATAAATCATTTAATTCAAATCTTGAGGGTGAACATCTATGGGAAATGTGTGAATTTTGGTTAGGTTGTCTAGGGGTGGTGAACTAGTTGTGTTGTGGAAGGCTCACCCCTTCTGAAGCCTGTCAAAGTCTTCAAGTGAGAATGTTTTTAAGAATTTGAAATTGCTTATACAGGCCAATGGGGAAATGTTACCAAGATTCAAAAGAAAGGGTGAGTGTTCTAAAGTTTAGCCTGCTAATGGAATGTTATACCAGACAAGACTTTATCTGGGAGTAAGCAGTATGACCTTACCCCAAGGTAATAGGAAGCAGTTAGTATAATGAGGTTTAGTTAATAAAATATGAAATTGTGTCTAAACTAATCACTACCATCATCATCATCAAATTTTATTTTTCTTTATAGTTTACAAGTGATTCACAACATTGAAAATCACTTAAAGAAATCCCCCCACATCTTTCGCTGCTGAGATGGGAAGTTATGCTCAGGGGTCTCAACTACCTAGCCCAGAGCCACATGGCTGCCCAGTAACGAAAGGCAGGGCTTAGACTCAGGACCACGGGAGATGTTTTAAGCGCAGCTCCCTGTCTAACCACGATTGCCACAGAGGGCACCTGGCAGAGAGGCTGTGGGGAACAAGCCAGAGGCTCCACGGGAGCCCTGGAAGAATGGACAAGGAGGGTCCGTCTGCCCAGTTACCAGAGGAAAGTCCTGAAGCGCTTGGCTTTCCAGACATCTTTCCAACATACATACAACCTTGTAGCCGAGGATGAAGGGAGTGGAGAAAATGAATGACCAGGAGAGAAAGGTTAATGAGTTGTTTCTATTGTTTAGGAGACTCAGAGGCCACTTCACAGTTACATTTTCATCCCAGCTTCTGTAAACCTAATTACTTTCATGAGAACTGTGTTTTCACTTTATTTTCCAAAATCCCTTAAAACTGAGAGTAACTACTCAGTTAACTATGCCTCAAGGTTGCTGAAATTCTTTCTACCTGTGGACAGTTTTGTAAAAAGACTCTCTCCCCACCCACCTAAATGTATGCTAATTAATAAATACAATTTAAAGAAAGCCTTTTTAGGAATTTAACAGTGTCACCACTGTTTAGATTAATGACATATTGGTAAGAGGTAGTAGTTGTGTGTGTGTGTGTGTGTGTGCTTGTTTTATTAAAGTGCTCAATTTGAGAGATAACTTGTTGCATATATACTCATTTACAGATAAAATCCAGACCTGCATATTCTATCCAGACCCTTTTTCTATCCATTCTTTCTGTGGTCAGTTTACGCATTTTGCATTTGTTTGCAGGAAACCTTTCTTTTCTCATGCTAGTTTATTAAAAGCAAATTTTACTTTATATATATTAACACAATGCTTATGTTATAAAACTCAAGTTGCAGTAGAATATTTTTATACTGAATCTGCAAAGTTTACTTCCTTTTAATGTTTAAACTAATTACGTCAAGGAAGCATCAAAATGTTTATATTAAAATGTAAAGAAAGTCATTTGGAAGAAGGATAATTGGAGATATTTTAAAAGATTAATTAAAAATAAACAGAATAAATGAAAAATACATATCCTTTTAGTATTTATTAGAATGGTTAAAATAAGTGGACTAGAAGTGGTCGTGTTGGTGCTTTTGATATTGTAACATTTATATATGTTCTTACACAGTTTTAGTTTTTAGTTTCAAAATTGAGAAAACTATGGGTATTTTTAAAATGAAAAGTACCAAACTACTATTAAAGATTCTCAATATATTCTCTTTACCAAACAACATAGGTAATTAATAAATAACTAAATAAACCACTGATATTTTAAAATCAAATGGCAATTTTCATTGATATTTATTGTATATATGCACATTTTCATACTAACTTAGTCACAATTTAATAACAATATAACATTTATTTTGAAAATATAACAATGTGATGTTTTCTTTGGTATAAAGATAGAATTTGGTATCCAGATCTATTAGCCTATAAGATACATTAAATATTTGCAAAACCAGAAGTCTCAACTAGATTTTTTTCTCCCCTTATATTTAGCAGCTTTCCTGCAATATAGTGGCTACTAAGGATTTAAAACCTGTACTCAGACACAATGTAAAATAATACTGTGATCACTTAATATTGACATGAGTGTGCTGGGTTGAATTATTGTTCAGAAATATTCCTTCTCTCCCCTTGCTTTCATGGGAGGAATATATTTCTATCTCTTGACTTTGGGGCTCATCATGTGACCTGCTTTCACCAATAGAGTGAGTCAAAATGGCAGTGCACCCTTGATAGATCTGGATATCAAATCTAGACTAGAGGTGAGAGACTATTATGTTGCTGCTTGTTCTCTCCCACTTCTGCCACCACCAGGAGAACTGACAAATGGATAAACAAGCCCAGCTGTTTAGTTGACTTCCAACAGTAGAGTTCTATAAATGCTCATTGTTTTTTAATAATAACAGGTTTCCCCCTGGTCAGTTTGGCTTAGTGCATAGGACAGCAGCCAGCGGACTGCGGGTCCCAGATTGAATTCCGGTCAAGGGCACATGCCCAGGTTGCAGGCTCGATTCCCAGTAAGGAGCATGCAGGAGGCAGCCAATCAGATTCTCTCTCATCATTGATGTTTATATCTCTCTGTCTCCTTTCTCTCTGAAATCAATAAAAATATATTAAAAATAATAATGAGTTTTGAATCTTTTGTATTGTACACTAGTTGGTAACCAAGTGTGGCAGTGTTTGGTATATTTGCCCTCACAAGTCTAGGATGTAAAGCAAAATGCTTCTAAGGAGAAATGTTGGTCATGGCAATGATCCTAAAGTGCTAGAAGGTTCTTTTTTTCCCTTTAATAGCAAGAAAAAGAAAATGGTTTCTATACTGTCAGTGTTTCTCTTCCTTTCCTTGCCCATCACCACCCTCAACACACAAACATTTTGGAACATCCTTGGATCTGCATGTGCCAAGAAAACCTTCAAAGACTGATGCCCACATACAAGTATTATCAATACCATCTCTGTGAGCTCTATAGTTGTTGGGATTTCCTCAGGCAATGTATGATCAGACACTGGGATAATGAAAGTATAAGAGGAAAAAGATGAATTGCAGTTGCATATAGCCATTTATGCCTCAGCAACACAGAAAAACATGCAAAGAGAAGTTCAACTCCATCACCATCTTTATGATAGAAAGGAAGGTCTAGGGCAGTGGTTCTCAACCTTCCTAATGCTGTGACCCTTTAATACAGTTCCTCATGTTGTGGTGACCCCCAACCATAAAATTATTTTCATTGCTACTTCATAACTAATTTTTCTACTGTTATGAATTGTAATGTAAATATCTGATATGCAGGATGTATTTAGGCTACTCCTGTGAAAGAGTCGTTCGACCCCCAAAGGGGTCGCGACCCACAGATTGAGAACCGCTGGTCTAGAGGATGTTCAGGCATGAAGTGTGAAGTCTTCCCTTGCCTTGAGACTTCCCTCAGCACATATGTTCACAATGCTTACTCAGTGGGAAAACTTTGGGGTGGTGAATGGTACTCGGTATGAGTTCGACCTGACTGGATCCAGATTATTTTTCTGTTCTCATCTGAAATATTGGAATCTTTGATTTTTAAAAATGTCTTCACAGCTGAAATGCATTATGCAAATGTATTCTCTACTTAGTGAGGATGCTACCAAATAATCTGAACAGTTGTTAAAACATCTGGGGCTGTTTAGCAGCATGGAT